TCACAACAACTTGCTTGTTCTGTCCTCTATTATTTCCTCCTCTCACCATCATCATCTTTACCATTTTTTCGCGTAAACCCCCCAATTATTTATCCAACCCCTGCATCTGAAGCTGCAGCTCCCCTAGCCCTGGCATCAAGATAGCGTCATCGATTAAGCTCACGCGGCCAAACGAGATAACAGATATTGGCGATTGAACACGTCAACGACATTCAATTCCTCTGTAGCGACATCAATTGGATGTGCCCGATATCAATCTTCCATTCAAGCACACCAAATTAACCGTTGTATCGCTCACGCGCTTTTCTGCAGCTCATTCATCCCATACCCCTCCACCTCACAAAGTGTTGGGGATATAAGCGCCAGCCACCTTTCACGACAGATAGCTTCATCAGATCAGTCATGTCAGCTCCAAGCACATTTGGAGAGCTGGGTCTCTCCATCATCGGCATCAGCGCCGAATACCCACCATATTCCCTAGATTATACCTGCCTCAACACCCTTAGTGACAAGTTCTATCCCGATACACCTTCGTGAGTCCCACCACCACCACCAACATGCCTCCCTCGATGGCTAATAGGTCACGATAGTATGCAAAAGGTCCTCGGAATCAACAGATATACCGGAATTGACACACGGTCATCCATTGGAACACCCGACCATCCAGCTGTTAACAAGAAAGATGCGCCCTCAATAGCAGAGCTCCACACTCTGTTCCTCTCTGATGGCGTTCCTCTCGCGATTCGAGCCGCTCGAAAGGCCATTGACGAGGCCAAGATTGACACGAGATTCATTACCCACATTGTCGCCACAACATGTACAGACAGCGCAAACCCAGGCTTCGACCACTTTGTCGCAAAAGGTCTGGGCATATCGCATGGTGTAGAGAAGGTCTTGCTTCATGGTGTCGGTTGTAGCGGCGGACTGGCAACTCTCCGAACAGCCGCGAACCTAGCTCTTGGTCATAAAGCACGCGGTCTGCCCGCGCGCGTTTTGTGTGTAGCACTTGAGGTCAGCACCACTATGGTACGTAGTGAGCTAGATAGCATCAACGAGCTGCAGCAGACAAGAATAGGCGCGTGCCTTTTTTCGGACTGTGGTAGTGCCGCTGTATTGAGCAACAGTATCGGTGAACCCTCCGAACCGGTATATGACCTCCTCGGCTGGGACCACAGGACCATACCAGATACTGAAGATGACTTGGGGTTTGATGTTGACCCAGTCGGTAAGCTTCAATGTCTCCGTAGTGTTTCTTTCAAGACCGAAACTGACATAATGATAGGCTGGAAAGTTGTTCTCACACCTCGTGTTCCCAAGCTCACTGCCGCCTCAATTGGCCCAGCTTTCAACGACCTCAAGGCATCTCTGCCCCAACTCCCTCCAGACTACCAGAAAGCAGCCGACTTCGACTGGGCGATGCACCCTGGAGGCGCTACCATCCTTTCCGGCGCTGAGAGAGCCATGGATATCACACCGGAACACCAACGGGCAAGTTACGACACATACATCAATCATGGTAACTCAAGCTCAGCTACCATCTTCAGTGTCATGGATCGCCTACGTTCGAAAGATATGGATGCCATGGCGCCTGACGGACGCGTACGTGACTATGTCGTTGGTTGTGCTTTCGGTCCTGGCATCACAGTTGAGATGTGCATGTTGAAGCGGAATATGTCTTATGGCGCCGGCTTGCCTGGCCTACAAACTCCACCAGAAACACCGGCTGAAACGGAGACGGAGCCGAGTGAAATCGGGGATGGAGATGGAGAGTGGGGCCGAGAGTCGAGCGGAGATCCGGCTGAGTCGCCGGATCAGTATGCGTTGTTTGTGGCCGAGTCATTGGAGCATCTAGATCTAGATTAGCATGGAGTTGTGGAACAAGGTTCATCATCATCAAATTCGAGGGCGTTAGTTGACAGTAGTTTTTAGAAGTAAGCAACAAGAGAGTAGAGGTAATGAAATTATGTACACTTGTACGTCTGTCACAAGGGGTGTTCTTATATCGTGACACCCAATTCGCTTTCGGTTACACATAGAATTATCAAGTGCGAATAGCTCGAACCATAATTTCTATGCTACCATTCGTCACGACCTCGTTCCGAGCAGGCCATGGCGATTCTGGCGGTCTGAGAAGTACAACGGAAATTTTCTCCTATTGCGTTACCTGCAAGATCGTCTGCAAGCAAGTGTGTCTAGCAGAGACATGACACCAAGGGGGTCAGTTAACTTTGTCTCTTTCGAATATAAAGAAAGCCGTTGCCAAGCCTCAGCCTTTGCCGAATACATTGCCGGTTTGAGTGAGCGGTCCGTTCGTGTTCCTGCATGATGGATGAATGTGAAGCGCGCCCTGTTAAAACAACCAACGCGTGGTGTGTTGATCAAATCAGGAATGAAGATCGGCGAACTCGCCAACATATCCAGATAATTATCCTCGCCCACTGTGTATTTGTTTGTTCAGTCACTGGACAGTCTCGACTGATGGGTGTTTACCCGGCGGAGCAATGTTGTCTGCTCATTGGCCTCAATTACGATGACGACAGCCCTGATACGCCTAACTGCAGAAGAAATTGGGCTTTCATCAACGAATTCGCTTGATGACTCTTAATGCTTGTCCCGCCCTGACTTTGACGCCAACCGCGGTAGTATAGACTGGGGTCAAGAAGCGTTAGTTGCATGTAAGGGGAAAAGAAAGAGGGGTCCTATCCCAGAGGACGTTAGAAAGGCGTAGATGACAGAACAGACAGATGCGTCAAAGACTAATGAGAAGGCCCCTAGAATGGCTTCCTAATCAAAGAATATCACCCGCCAAAGAGCTAGCCCCGGTCACTTGAGTCGAGATGCCGAACTGAACTTGGACTGATAAGATTTTTTCTTTGACACATGAGCGCTCAAGTTCAGATATCGAGCCACTCTGACGTAGCGAAGAGCACCCAAGCGCATCGCTCTGGAGGCTGAGATATAGTTCAACGAAGGGGCATCATCTTTTTCAAAGTTCACGCTTTGCGTACCGAGGCTAGTGGAGCTACGGTACAAGATATGCTCATGTACCGGTACTAGGCAGGGGGTGTTTCTCCAGCATTTTGATCTGATCATAAGAGCCTTGTCGCTTAGGTTAATCCTTTCCCGAAATCCGAGACTGACAAAAGCGCCGCCAGTTCTGACACTGAACGCTATGCCATGTGGTCGGTTAAAGATCAGCACATAGTTGAGGTGACATCCGCGAGAAACAGCCTCGAAGTGGATTAGCTGCCGCCAAGATGTCAACGCACGAGGATGAGCAAGGAACTTGCCGCGCCAACTTACAGCGCTTGAGCAATGACGACTCACCAAGTGGATTCTGCCCCGTATTTTCTTTCAGCTTGGACTTACTAACCAAGTGGGCGAAACGATCCTCAACCTCGTGGCATCGACAAGGCTAAAGACTTCCGAGTCCTCATCTTTGAAACATGCTTCCACGCTGGAAGTACGTATGTATGCTGTAGGGATGGACGGGACCCTCAGGAGACAAAAAGCTTGACTAGACCGGGACATCCCCCGGGTTCTAAGGCATTTTGACAGCCACCGGCTGATGAAACAATGGTGAGCCCAATCGGAAGGGATTTAATGACGAGGGCGTCCCGAAACAGGAACTCGTCTCGATATGAAGCACCCTGTGGCTTGCAGGTTTGACGGAGGCCCCACCCACACTAACATGGTAGTTAATGAAGTTTCCCGCAGATAGTCGATGAAGGTACACCTAGTACTATGTAATATCTACATGATACGAGCTCGATTTGCGGTCGTATGAGAAGTGAAGCACGTATCGGGGGTTTAAGCTCTTGTGCACGGCGCGCAAGACGGGGGTTGCTGACCCGGCCGTGGGGAAGAGGCTTGAGCCCAAATTCGAGAATCGAAGCTTTATACTTGTGGCTGTCGACAGGTAGCTCTAGAAGCCATGAGAAAGAAACCTTGGTTCATAAGCTGCAAGTTCTGACTCGGGATCTAGGATGGCCAAGAGGAGTTGCTAATGTCTCTCCATCCTTGAAACTTTTGTGATGCGTGCCATGGCCCAGAAGAGTATTCTGAGCGTAAGGCGTGGGACGTGTGCGATACCGGACGGTTCGGATCAGGACCACGCTACATAGGCCTAGTTGACGTCTGGTCAGGGCCTTGCCAGGTAACTAGGTAGGGTGGGTTGTATGCCCCTTGAGTAACTTGACGGCGTGCAGGTGAGGAGTCTCCGCCAAGAGGGCATCCAAGCTGTGACTATGAAGCTAGGCGTGCGGCGTGATAAGAGGACAATGTCCAAAGGAAGCTAGAGCGGTGGTCAATCTCCACAGGTAAGGCAGAGAGCAAGGGAGGTGAGCGCTGTGTAGAGTTCGCCGTTGAGTATTCAACAGCCGGTATAGTTGTTTAAGTTGAGCGAGATCCCCGTCAACGATCGTGTTAAAAAGAAGTATCGCATGTCACGACGAGGGAAGAATCGCCAATAAACTAAAGATTCAAGAGCTGTTATCGAGAACCGAGCTCAACATCTTCTGGCAGTCCCGGGAGATTCGACAATTGTTCGCAGTCATTATCATATTGGGTTGTTATTGCGGCCGCCACCTTTCAGCTGTATGGATACCGAGACGATATCAACGCCGATATTCTCACAACAGACACTCAATCGTTACTGAGGAATCTGCAACGACAGGCAAGCAAAAGAGCACAGGACTCTCAGATCTAGAGCATCGGCCTCATTGGAATTGTTGCCCAATCGAAATTACCCAGTGGACGGGACGCAATTTGATTAGGTTTCGGCTCCGACACTCTGGGTCAGTCCATGCGGATCCGACAGTTCTGAGAGGGACGCTTCTGGTTGGATCCGGTTGGAATTCCCTTTCCCGGCATTGCTCTTTCTTGGCGTTGCGCGCACGGGAGAGCGTAGGCAACGGTTCAGTTTTTCAGGTGATTACTGAAGAAAAGCAAGGCTGGAGGGCTATTATCACGTCTTCGGTGTGGGGGATGCCGAAGGGGAGATGGAGACGGAGATGGAGATGGAGATGGATGGAGGTGTTATTCAGCGGCAGCAGCAACAAGCGATTGAAGCCGATGATTTCCACGGGGGCAGGACCGTGCATTCCGCTCCTATCACTTCAGAATATACGGGTCACGTGGGTATTCCTCTAGGCCATGCTCACTCTCATCCTGGGCCTGGCAACCAGAGCATACCTGGCACCTGGCGTTGGCGTAGGCGCAGTTCTCAGCGCCCGGGCCCCGTTACTCATACTGGTACTGGTACCGACCTAGTGGCCCCCGACCATGACCCAACTGGAAGTCCAGTGATAATACCTTTTACGCATGCACAATTCGCGTCACCTCTAGCAGTTCGCGCTCACACTCACAATCACCCTCATCATCACATTCACCCTCAATCGCAGCCAAACTCACCCTACACTCACCCTCACCCTCACGCTCTTCATCACCATCAGATATTATTACCCTCTCATCAATCGCTCTCTCACTCTCACTTCTCCGACGACTCCGCCACAGTCGATGGCCATTTCGGCACAATGGAGCAGATCGAGACACAAGCAAGCGACCTTCGGTTCCTTGCTCAAGTTCCTGTATTGAATCCAACCTCGAGCCCGTCTCTCGGCCCCGGCTCCGGCGCCGGACGAGGCGGGACTCCAGCCCGTACCCCCGGGAGCGCCGTGGGAGCCTCTACGGGTGCTCCTATTGCTTACGATAATCATGCCAGTCCAAGTTCCGCCTCTGTCGGCGACAATTCCGCTCACGGTGCGAGCGCGTCCAATGCCAATAAGAGGAAGTCGACAGACGATGGTCAAGGCAACGGAGCAAAGCAAACAAGAAGTAAAAGAAACAGAGTGAGTTCTGATCATCTCGTTACATCTGCTATCAACCCCCGGACCATTACCATATGAGATCACATGAGACAAGGATGAGATGAGGTGAGGCATCTTTGAAGGACAGGGACGCACTTGGTGGCGACCAAAGAGGGGTTCCTCCTGGAGACGGCTACACAAGACTGCACGATACTCGCCTATCGAGTCCTTCGAGTCCTCGGACGTCAAACATCTCGGCCTCCTTGTTGCACAACATAAACGAACCCAGACGGCTGGGTCGGCAATCCGAACCCACTCCTGTTTCAGCCCTTTGATCCCATCCAACTCATTCACACGCCACTCCCCGGGTCACTCACTATACTTGAAGATCACTTAGGCTAACGTTGCATTCTTCACAATGACAGTACATATCAATAGCTTGGTCAGTATGCTTCTGCCAAAGAATGGTTTCATCTTCGCTGTGACCGCGTAGCATAACACCGCCTTATCTTGGCTCCTGACAAGTGCATATGCTAACAGTACATAGCAATGAATGCAAGAGACGAAAGATAAAATGCAATGGCGAAACTCCCTGCCAACGATGCGGCAACCTCAATTTGGCCTGTCTATATGCCCCGAACTGCTGCTCCGGCAACTTTAAGGAATCCGACGAGTTCAAGCAGGTCACCTCACAACTAGGCCGCCTTCAAGAAGAAGTCGGCTGGCTACACCAAACCGTCAAGGCCCTTCAATCCGAACCTGCCCGATATTCCTCACTTGGTGACCGGACAATGACCCACGGCCACGGGACGCCGGCAGTCGCCCCTTCACCTTCTCATAGTTCTACTTCGCTTAACCGTCAGGATAGTTCGAAATATGGTTCTTTCCGGGGCCCAACAAGCATGGCCTTCAGTCTCGACGTTGCCAATAATACGATCAACAACATGGGCTACAAAGGCATATCAGACGAGGAAAATCCACACCTGAACGATGGCATGGGCCCTACCTCGACACGGCCAAGAGATCCCCTCCACGAATTCGACAAGGACGAGATGATTCGCCTGTGTCGTCTGCATGAGGAAGAGATCGGTATCATGTACCCAGTGCTCAACATTCAAACCGTGATATCCCACGCCAAAAACATGGCCACATTTCTTGAAACCCTACGACAACAAAGCCCCAGAGAACTTGTCAACGACGACAAGACTCTACAGCTCAAAATCATCATGTGCTGTGCTCTAGTGGTAGAAGAGCATGGGCATAGTGATAAAGCCATTCGCCTGTTTGAGAGCATGGAAACGGTGCTCAACCGGAAACTCATGGCTGAGGCTGCGGACGTTGCAACCCTACCAATCCTGGCTCTTGTTGCCGGGTACAGATTTCTCTCCAACGATGAAGTTTTGGCTTGGCGAGTCATGGGTCACGTCGCACGATTATGTCTAGAGCTTGGCATTCATCAAAGAACAGGCCTGATGAGGATTCAGGATGAAGAAGAACGCAAGAATGCTCTCGTCAGCTTCTGGTCGGCATATGTGCTGGATAGGCGATGGGCTTTCGCAACTGGGTTACCTTTCGTCGTTCAAGATGAAGAAATCGATTCAGAGCTGCCATTTCCAGTGAGTATTTGATGAACTCATAGCCCTCCTCGTCTTAACTAACGAATTTTAAGGAGGAATACCCTTATCTTGTGGCCATGATCACCTATTCTCGGATAGGTGCAAAAGTGTGGCGACAAGTAGCTCATTTTGGGCCGGTTCTGGCACGCGATTTGCGCTCGGGGGAACTGGAGCATGTCGACCAGGAGTTGTTGCAGTGGTATGAACAGATTCCCGAAGAGGTCAAGGTTCGTAACTGGGATAAGGAGAAGCATATAACGTCGACTCCGTCCTATAACCTGCAACGCCTACGAATCTGGACATATTTACGCCTGAATCAAGTAAGTGTTGTGCTCAAGACTCGTCGGTATAAGCTAACAATATGCAGATGCGGATCTGGCTTTACACCCCTGTTTTGCATAGCGCTACAAGCATCATGGCGCATCCTACGCAGTCAGAACGTGTAGTCGACATCGCCAAAGACACTATCCGATACCTTAGCCACCTGAATAACACGACCAACTTATATAGACGTGTGCAGGTGTTCTACCACCAATTCCTCACATCTGCGATTGCGGTCGTCTTCCTCGCATCCGTTCATGCCCCGGTCCGCTTCAGCGCTTCCTGCCGTGAGGAGTTTTATATGGCCCTCGAGCTGGTAAAGGATTTATCCGCCAAGAGCTGGGCATCCCAGCGACTTTGGCGCACAATTCGATCACTCAAAGACGTGGCACCGCGATTTGGACTCAATGCTGAGGACGACCCCCAGTCAACAGCGGCGTTGGGGATGATAGGGCTTGCTCGAGGCCATATGGAACACCAGCCATTCCGCAAGCCCTCTATCCCTGGTCAGCAATCACAAGCTGCAACCCCAGACTCGATGGCCCAGAACGGATCACGAATTCAAGCCGAGATGTCACGTATGTTTGAGGGCTATGTAGGGTTGAATGGATTCCAATACAACGATAACGAGGGACAACAAGGGCCGAATGCTGAGGTTTCTGAAGCGTCCAATGGCGGCATTTTTGGAGTTGATGGTACTGTCTTTCCTCAGTTCAAGGAGATGTACTAAGGTAGCCAACCATGCTTAGCCAGGTATTTTGTATATTGCTAGTATTTAGATATGATATCCCCTCCTGTACACTGACTTTCAGATAGTCTCGGATATATCTGACGGCGTAATATGGCGCTCAAAATGGAGATACGAATGGAGTTGGTAATATACTATTTGATAATCAAGATTTGATGTTCTGTGTTCAGCCACTTGAATTGTTTGTTGAGTAGCCCGTTATGGTTGGGGATATGCTAAAGCATATCTGACATTTGTGCAAAGCCCTCGAGATAAAATGAACAAAACTGCTACATGGTACGGTATCATGAGAGGTTCAGGCTTAGCACATCGATTGTATAAACTCACTCATCCTTGACTTGACTGTGGGGATGGTCAGCAAATCGGAGCTTACTAAGTCAAGATCTGTAACCCATCTCTCATCTTGAGAATCGCAACGTTGTCCATATTCCACTACTCTTCTTTATCATCCAACTCTGATAACTTGGCAACTCCAGCCTCCGATCATCATCATCATGCTAGCCACAGCAATGATCCCCTTCCTCCTCCACACTCTTATTGAGACCCCAGCTGCTTTGACCTTTATCCTGAAACCCTCATCACAACTTCAACCGCTTCCTCCATCGGCAGCCCTGATTCTTCAGTCGTTCGGGGGCCTTCTTCTTACGAGCAACCTCATTGCTCTCATCTTTATCCGTCGGCCATTTGATGACGCAACTCGCCAAGCTGCGCTCGCCTTTTCCTTCTGGCATTTGTGGCCTAGTTATCGAGCTTATATGCGAATGAATGGCTATACAAAAGAGGAAGCCTCAACAACCAAGACATTAGGGGGACCAGTGGTGCACCTAGGAGTTCACATTGTTTTGTTAACCATGTTTCTTTGTACCTGGTATTTTGGTAATGCTTAAGCAACAGTCTATGACCTACAATTACAACTTTTTTCGGGTCCGTCCCCTCTTTAGTTTCTAAACAGCCGGAGTCCTGCCTCCTCAACATCAACATCCATATCATCCTCGCTCTCGTCTTCGTTCAGCTCCATCTTGCGACCAAACAGCGTGCCGAAGAAGCGGTCAATAGCACCCTGCTCCCATGCACGTCGGTCCTCAGGCGCCATAAAGTTCTGCAGCTTCTCGTGAACTGTGAATCGCATCTTACGGCCCTTGCTGGCCTTGCGGTCAACATTCTTTCGTGACTTGACGTCCTTGGTTGCTGTGAGGACGACCGTGGGAACGGCAGCTCCAGCTCCAGCTCCCGATGAGCCCTCCACTGTGCGCTGGTCCACAAGCTCCTTCAGGAGAACCTGGTAGAAGTCGGCGTCGTCGTAGATGTTGCTGTCGTCCGATGCACCCTTGGCAGCTTGCGCAGGGGCACACGAACGAGGGACGCGAGAGCGCTTGGCGAGGCGGTTATCGGGATCAATGAGCTGCTCCTTGAGGGCACTGACAAGGGTCTTGTTTCGCGACTCGAGCCCCTTAGGCGCTGTGACATTAACAGATTGCACCTTGCGAGACCACTTCTCAAGACGATCCTCCCTTGATTTGATAGATCGTTGTTCCTCTTCTTGTAATTGCTCCCAGATCTCGCTTGTGGCCATAGACACATCTAATTCGCGCTTGCGCTTCTCGCCAGCTCGAGACGGTCCAAAATTATCCTTAAGGCTGCTGATAGTGTTGAGGAGCTTGATAGCTGCCTCTTCAGCAGCCTCGTAGGGCTCCGATTCGGGCTCGGGGTTAGCGTCGAGGGCATCGAAGGTGTTGGCAGCAATAAGGGCTTTCTGTAGACGAATTCGAATGTTAAGGAGCCCATCGTAAGCCTTGCGCTGCTGACGGATTGCCAAGCCCTTGTCAACATCGGGTCGGGTTGATAGAGCTGCCATCATAGGCTTTGTGTTCTTTGCCTTCGCCTCTGATGTCTCGTCATCGCTTTCACTGTCATCGTCCTCTTCCTCCTCCTCTTCTCCCAAGCCCTCCTCGTCCTCATCCTCATCCGACTCGTCGTCGGAGACTTCCTCACCATCGACCAGAGCGTCAAGGCCATCGTCCATGTCGTCCTCATCTGACTCGGATTCGTCATCCTCATCCTCGCCAACACCAGCGCCACCTTCATCGGAAGAAGACATGTAGTCAGCAGCGGTAGCTCGCTTGCTAACGGGCTTTTTAGGCTTGGAGCTTCCGCGGAAAGTAAACTCCTTGAAGCGCTCCTCGTCGCTTTCACCAAGAGCGCCGTCGCTCTCGATTTCTGAGTCGTTGGCCTCAGCCTCGTCGCGTGCTAGATCCGCGGTCTCAGGATCGTCGAATTCCTCATCGCCCGACTCGTCCTCATTTTCGTCTTCAGACTCGCTCTCTTCCTCGAGCGCATCTCGCGAGACTCGAGAGCCTCGGTACTGGGGACCGAGTGACAGGCCCTCCTGTTTCCTCAATTTACTCTTTCCCACGGAAACATAGTGCTCGGTACCCGCGTTCTCATCCTCGCTCTCTTCGCTACCGCTGCCATCCTCACTAACTTCGACAATGGCCTCGGGATCGTAGTCTTTCGTAATGATTAGAAAAAATAGGTCATATGGTATTTTAGCGGCTTACCCTTGGCAATAGGCTCGTCCAAGTCCTGAAACTGCTTTGCGCGACCCTTTGCTTTGGCCATTTTAGTGATTGGATTGTCAAGTCTTCCACTAACAAACAAACAGAAGCCCCCACGTTGGAAATTTTCTGAGGAATGGCCATGAACTTTTAGGCGGTGGTATGTGGCAGAATCGTCGCAACTCAGTGTTAGTGGAGAGGGCCCTGTATTAGCCTATTAGGTAGTCCGCTAGCTCAAACTCCCAGCGTCTATGGATGGGTTCCACGGCACCTTATTTGGTCAGACTCGTGAATTCTTGACATCCATCCATGGCTCCTATAAGTAGACGATTCAATATGTTGCTGGCTTAGACACTATAGACATTCAAAAACTCCCTATAACTCCGAATTGAGGAGTTCAAGCTTATTACACCGAGAGCCTGGGTTTATATCCCATCTAAAGCCATAAATACTCTCATTATGCGTCCAACATCGGCCCGTCTCTTTCAGTGCTTCCGGGCACTGCAACATGAAAATCCATTAGTGAGTGATCTTCTTCATTGCGAATTCCTATCAGAATAGAGTATTACTGATACTATCCTAGGGTCTCCCTCGATCAGGAACGCCGCCAACCTGGGGTAAACGCCCGGTCCGTCGCAAAATCACAGGTGTCGAGAAAGTCATTGCAGTATCCTCAGCCAAAGGTGGTGTAGGCAAAAGCACAGTTGCAGGTATCTATGGATGTCTCCCGAGTCTTGAGACGCTCTAATAAAGGCAAATAGCAAATTTGTCTCTGGCTTTCGCTCGTCTTGGCTTTCGTGCTGGAATCCTAGACACTGATATCTTTGGTCCATCTATTCCAACCTTGTTTGACCTCGCAGGAGAACCGAGGTTATCAAATAGTCAGTCACTACAGCTCGTAGTCCTCCGAGCATGTACTGACATTACAAAGATAACCAGCTCATCCCTCTCACAAACTATGGCGTCAAGACCATGTCCATGGGCTATCTAGTTGGCGAGAATACACCAGTAGTTTGGCGAGGTCCCATGGTGATGAAAGCTATTCAGCAGCTTCTACATGAGGTAGAATGGGGCGGTCTGGATGTTCTTGTCCTAGACCTTCCTCCAGGTACAGGAGATACACAGTTGACCATCACACAGCAGGTCATTTTAGATGGTGCGTTTCTATGACATGTCACGTTTGTTTCTACTAACAAACCCCAGGCTCTGTCATCGTCACGACTCCTCATACTCTTGCCACCAAAGATGCTGCCAAAGGTATCAACATGTTCAAAACAGTTGATGTCAATATCCTGGGCCTGGTACAGAACATGTCATTGTTCACATGCCCTCATTGTCATGGAGAAACCAACATCTTTGGTTCCAATGCAAGGGTCGAAAAGTTATGCCAAGAGCATCAGATCGACTTTTTAGGCGATATCCCATTACATCCCAATATTGGAGATGATGGGGACAGAGGAAAGCCCACAGTAGTTGCAGAACCTACGAGTGAGAGGGCTAGTGCCTTTTTGAAGATAGCACAAGATATCTGTCCCAAGATCGATCTTAGCGGTAAATAGTCACCGAACTTCTACTCGGCTGCCAGGCAACTTGTACAATAATGATTCCTGTCAGCCCAACTTAGTAAGACACCCAAAGCCAGGGGGGAGAGGTGTTTTGTGCTCATGTAACATTATTTGATTAACACCGGCTAGTCTATCAACATAGACCGCGTCGCTCCTATGTACTTGAGTCTGAAAAGGAAGAACTGGATTAAACGCCAGAAAGACAAGTTGTTAGCCTCTGCTGTGATCAAATGCAAGGCATGTTACCAAACAAAGCAATAAGCTTCTGAGACTTCCCGAACGCCCCTGTGTGCTCTTGAGTATCGAACCGAGTGCCCTGTCAAGAGAGAAAGGTGATTAGTCTAGCTCATCGTTCATTTGATAGACATGACGGCTTCGAGTGGGGTCTTTTCGCATGGCCTGGCCAGAGCCTGTGAAGCCAACTGAGAACAAGTCAGTGTCTGATTCATGAAATAAGGAACAGAAGGGCATACCTCTACCATGGACGCCGTCTGGAGTACGGAACATGCTGTCCTTCTTTTGGTTCTTCCCAAACTTGGACTTTGCGCTGAATTCTTGCCACTTGTTCTTGTTTTTCTCGAGCTCCTTCTTGGCCTTGATCTTCTTGGCCTTGGGAGGCTTTACTTCACCATCTTGCTCAGCTGCCTTCTTCGCTTCGGGATATACTGTCGCGCCCGCTGATGAAACCAACCCTGGGGCCGGCGGTGTGGCTGGTGCGGAAGTTGTTGGCGTGCCTTCCGCCTTTCGCTTATTTGAAACAGGCCGAATATCGCGAGACCGCAAGGTCTCAGTGTTATCGTATGACTTGAACTTGACGGTGTAAATAGGGTCTGTTGAGGATCCAGTGATAGATGTGATGCGCGCAGGGTAGAAAGCCTTGTCACCAGAAACCCACTTGGCTAGAATTGTGTCGTTGACCTGGTAGTTTACAGGAGCCTGCTTCTCTTCCTCCACTGGAGCTGCTTTCTTAAAGGCTGGATGGTTCTCGCGAGACCATTTCTCGGGTTGAGGTGGCGGTGATGGTTCTTTGGGGGCGGGTTTGGGCGCCTGGGCAGGCTTGAGCTCAGCAATTTGTTCATTGAGAAGATCGATGAAGCTGTTCAACTCGTCCTTTAAAGCTTTGAGCTCGACGTTATCCGGGTCATCGCGTAACTGACCAAGAACGATATCGAACTAGAGGGGAAACGGTCAGTTTGAATGACATATCATGGATGAATGGACGGGGTCGTACTTGTTCTTGGTACGTCTTCTTCTCTTGTTCGATCTCAGCGATAGATGACATGGTCTGGAATCTTGTTTTGGGGTCGTAAGGGATGAATAATGCCAAAAATCGGAGGTTCTGATAGGTACCTGAGTATTAGAAGTGGTAATGGGTTGGTTCGGGGGGTTCCTTGATGCACTGCAGTCTGCACGAGATGAGATTGAAGATTCCAAGTTGGAGTTGGAGGTCACGTGCGGAGTATTTTAAGGCACCCCAGATTATCCCCGGCAAAAGCCTCTCGAAGATCAGCAATCCGAGCCTCTAGAATCTAGAGCATCCTAAGAATTATATCTACTGGATGGCAGATGGTCTCTTTCAAAATCTTGGCTTATTCGTTTCTATGGGCTACCATATCTGGTGATAGGTTTTGCTTCTGCGAGCAGGTTGCGCGTCTTCAAGAATAGGTCCAAACACAAAGAAGACAGTTGGGTGATCTACCTTGGGCAAAGTTGCTAGTGTATGATTTTGGTTAGCAAGAATCAAACTATATGATTCGGTTTCATCGCCCTTTCGTCCCATGAACGACACAGTGACTATCACTATCGTTAAAGATTACCTACCTAGCTGAATCACTGACGGTTATGCCGCCGCCTAAAGTCGGCCCGGGAGAGAAACAAGGCAAAGGCTGGGCCAAGGTCCGTCTGGCAGTGTATGTAGGTACTCCCTAGATTACATTAATTAGGTACCTTACTGTACACAGTTCTCCGCAAGCCCCGAGCGGTTCGTCGCTAATGCAGTGTGTAATACAGGTGACGCATTCATGATTTAGTTGGTGGTGTTCAATGTTCAACTCAAACCATGGATGTTTCTCGTTTTAGTTCATGTCCTGTTTCTGGGTCCGTTCATTCTTGTGACATGCAGGTTACACAGTGAACCAAAGGCTTCGTAATTGGTCTCGGTTTGCCAAAGAAGGATATTCCAAGGGTTCCGCTTGCGGCTCCGTGTCCGCCTGCGACCACGAATCTCATGCATCTCATCTCATTCTCATCTCACTCGTGTTCTATCTAGATAGAATGACTCTAATCTTCTGTTGGCTTACTTGCTTGCTTGGCATTTCGCACTATCACACCTCAACATGTTCACTCGCTAATCACTGCTGCTGCTACTGCTGCACGATCAAAGTAATTATTTCGTTCGCTCGCTAGCTCCAGCTCATTTTACTGTATTGTTCGGCCGTGTTCAAACACACTTTTATACTTCAGAGTCAGAGTCAGAATCAGAGCAGAGCCAGTGTCAGTGTCAGAGCTAAAAACAAAAACTTTATGTGGACAAATCCAATCTTGATAATTAGCAAGCCTTCTTTTTCGTTCCCCTCCTCTCCATCACAGCCTACTACAGTACCTCCCTGATATCAAAGATTCATTCATACAAATCCAGGTCAAGTTGACTGGTCTCAGCACCGCCAGCCTCTGTATCGGCAATAGACTAGCTTCATCTCCGCCGCTCAGTTGTTGGTCTTGTTTGGCTCTCGATTGTTCGTTGCTTCTAGGGCCATGCCTGGTCTGTCTGGTCTGGAATTGCTCGCCTATACTAGTAACAAGACCAAGACCTTACTCTTCTTACTCGCCTACCGACCTTGTCCATACTACTTTTTTTTTTTAATTTTTGCTAGACCTTCCCTTACGTCAAAAGTTGCTTCTGCTCAACGCCAGGCACTTTTCTTCTTTAATTTTCTCTCCCTTTCGTCATCATCTCCTTCTTCTTCTTCTTCTCCCCGGACTCCAGACTCATAGTGATCGCCGGCCCATCTCCGCTCCTCCACTACTCTCGACCCTCACCGATTCTTCTCGCGGCTGATCCATTGCCATTGACATCACTCAAAGGGAGCCCTACAAATCTGACTTAAAGGGAGCTCCATAATTGGCAACCGGGACGGAACCACCACCATTCGCGATCCGAGACGACGACTGCCTACCTACCTACTGAATCTTTGATACGACGCGGAGTCAATTAACCTCCTACACCTTTTCTTATTCTTTGTCACGTATTTATTTGCAATTACTGCTGCAGCGCCCATGATATTAAATACCCTGGTCATCAGTGCAGCCAAAAAGGGAATATAATATTTGTAGTCAGTCGCAAACACAACAAAGGAGAAAGAAAAGTCGCCAAAAGTTGAAAATCTTTTACCGCTCGAGATCCGTCAGATACGACAACGACCAATTCGCCGTCGCATCACCCAGAACGAACTGCGCGCAACCTTTATCTTGCTGTATTATACCTCCAATCCCTACCAACCATGCCTCACACCCGAGATGCGGACAGCGCATCATCCTTGGGCGGCCAATCAAAACGACCTCCGCTCAACCATCAGGAGAGTGATTCGCAGAGCGAGAGCAGCGGTGTTAACCAACAACACCAAAACCAGCAGCAGCATCGGAGACACCATCGTCATCACCAGCGACAGCACACTGTTGGTCACCTCCACCACGCCCGCGGCCCAGCATCATCCAAAACTGCCCCGAAGCAGCCTAAGCTCAGCCGTCGCCATACCGATACCCCCGATCAGATCGAGCAGCAGCAGCAGCAACACCGAATCTCCTCCGGTCCCAATTCTCATCGACGAGCTCTCAGCGACGCAAAACTCTCTTCTCGCGAGTCTTCGTCTGGCAACCTTACCAAGAGCGCATCTCAATCCAAGCTGACCAAGAACTCTTCCCACACAAAGCTCGGCAAGAGTTCTTCCCAGACAAAACTGGTCAAAAGTCCCTCGCATACGAGAATCGTCAAAAGTCCTTCCCACTCAAAACTTAAGCGCAATCGCTCGCATACAGAAGTCGGGAAGCGCACTCGGTCTGCAGAACTGAAGCGCGCTTCAAGTACTACAATTGTTTATCAGCCCCAAATCTCTCACGGCAAGTCGCAGGTCCATTTCGATTTGGGTAACGAGGAGGACGAATGGGTCGACGCGAGTGGCTCTAATTCCCCCTACCTCTCCCGCAAGGGTTCTCTCAACAGTAGTAACCATTCCGTGCACCACCCCGACGACCGCACTGGCGGGTCAAGACCGGTTACACCCAACGATTCCGCCGCTCCAAAGCCGGCCGAGCAACCGCAGCACGAGCCGGAGGAGCGGAACTCAACGAGCCCCGAGTTGGAGACGATACATCACAAGGAGTATCTCACTTCCCGCATATTGAAGCGCACTCCCTCCCACGGAGCTCCGCCCCAGATGAGCGCAGATCTGGCGCAGATCTCTCCTCGCCATTTTGCGCCAGCCTCTGCTGATGCCATAGGGTCAGGAACTCTTGCGGGAAGTAATCAGGATGAATTGACATCCCGGTTTGTCGAGGCTGTCGGCTCTGGATTGACTAGTGAGGGATCCTTCTACCGGCCATCTCGGGGAGACTTTCGCAGATACGATGACGCGCCTCAAAAACCTCGTTCTGTGACCAGCTTGCAAGGCGACCGTGAGGAGCGCCGAGAACCCCCAACAAGCGCACCAAAAGACGACATTGATGATAGCGCACTAGCGCCCAAGGCGGCCCGACGGGCTGCGCCGCCTGCCGCTCAAACATCGCGAACACAGCAGAAGCTTAACCTGCAGCGAGCCAGTTCCGTGATTGAGCCTGGGCAAGCAGTTGGTGGTGTCGGAGGTGTAGTCGGTCATACTCCACTCATCGGTGTCGGTGGTCCCGGATATGACGGAGGCAATAGTCGAGATCCGCGTGTGGGCAAGCTCTTGGAGCGTACAGGCATGGAGTATCTCGTTGTTCGAAGGCATCTCAACCCCATTTCTCGTTCACTCGAGCGTCTCAACCATCTCCCCGGTATGGACAAATCATTGCGCATCCCACGACCTGGCACCGCCTCGACAAACGGCAAGCGTTCCACAGATCTCACTATGCGCCAACACACCCGCAACGTCAGCATGCCCGATCCTCGACGACCGATGACGCCGAAACGCCCTACCTCGGTACGGACAACCAACGGTGCCTCGTCGAGCTACGACGGTAACGACGACGATGGCAGGCTTACTGACCGACTGAGCGGATCAAGTCTGGTTGGCGGTGAAGAGGAAGATGGTACCGCAGCCATACTGAGGAACTTGTGGGACAAGTCTATGGAATTGAGTGCCAGTACGGATTAGGAGTTCCCTTTCGTTTCTTCGTGATTCTAGAGATCAAGGCGTTATGGTGCAGCTATGGTATAGGAAGTGCTCAATAGGCACCCAAAGATAGAAAGGCGTGGATCAAGACAGCGTCAATTTAGACGGTATTACGCGAAGATGTAGACTCACGATATTATTACGTGAAAGCGGTGGTTTATTGTTAGAAAGGGGACCAGCCTATATAATAATTCAATGAAATTACGCACATCTAGAGTAGGTCTTTGTTTCGTCGTGTCTCTCATGTATTTCTCACGTATTTATCATTCCCACCCGTACGCCTTCTGATGCTGTACTCCGCGAATTCTAGTTCAAACAAGATCTTTATAATTATACATTGGGGGAAAGTTGGTCATACTTGACACATCGTTCGACCTAGGTAGTCCAAATTAGCATATCATGGCTTTGAAGGATGTTTAATACCAAGCAACTTACGTCTTCGATGCTGGCTTGCATAAATCGTCTTGCTTCCAATCCCAGCCATACCACTAGCATGGAAAAGTCGCCATGCTTTGCCATACCTGGGCCGCTCTGAGCGCTGAGCTGTCGCAGGATTGGCAGGGAGCTGCTGAGTAGATCAACATCGGGGTTCAGACTGCGACCGATACCCTCAAGAAGCAGAATACTAATTACGACGTTGACGAAATCGCCCTCGAGGCGAACATGGTGGTTTCGAACCATGCTAAGCACCTCTTGCAGGATATCGCCGATTTTGACGTTACCGAGAGCCAAGGTGCGGCTCTTGACACCGAGAACTAGATGCTGCATCTTTAGAGCAAACACTTCTTTATCGAGTACAGCATCTGGTTGGCGACAGCGTTCGCACATGAGATGGCCGGCCTTGTAACCATCAAACTCGGCAACGGCGCGGAAGAGGTCGAGGAAGTTCTCGCGGTTCACAGCGTTGAGTTCAGTCACGAGTCCAGTGTCGATAAAAATGAGCTGAGGCCGGAAACCTTCAGCATCGATCTTGGCCAGCTCCGCCTCCCAAGCCTTAGGGTCCTTGCGGTGTCGATATGGTCGAAGCCGTTCAAGCACTTGCTCGGTCACATCTTCCTTCTCATCGGGGTGCGCCTTTGTCATTGTCTTTCTCAGACGCAGCTCGGGGTGAGCTGATTGGTAGAATCGCACCATGATGTTGCCAGGATGCAAATCAGCGTGGACAAAATTATCAAGGAGTAACATGCGGAGGAAAGCGTCAAGGCCTTCGTCGGCAATATCATGTTGGAAGACGCCGCCGCCATTCTCCATAAAGTCTGCCAATGGTATACCCTGGGCGTATTCTTCAATAAGGACATTTCGCGTTGTGTATTCAGTATACGGGTATGGGAACCAGGCTGTAGATCGATCTTTGAAGTTCTTCCGGAAAATGGCCAGATTTGCGGCCTCTATGCGAAGGTCAAGCTGGAGCTTCATCATCTCCCCGAATTGAGCAACCTCGTCGGGCAGTGACAGCCACTCAATCGTAGGAATCAAGTTAAGCAGGGAAGCGAAAAAGCCCATGATGCGAAGGTCTCGTCGAACCGTCCTCTCGACGTATGGGTGCAGCACTTTGACTGCAACGTAGGACGACGGTACTCTATGCGGGGAGCTCTTGAGCACTGTATCAACATTGCGCTTCACATTTTGCGCCAGAGGATATGAGTCATGAAGATCAGCTTCCTCTGGCTTAGCCAAGCCTGGCTTCAGCTTGGCCTTGTAGACCTGAGCGATAGCGCCAACACCGAGAGGCTTCTCCTGGAATTCGTCAAAGATGTCTTCAAAGGGGCGGCCACCAAAAGCAGCTTCCACCGTGACGCGCGTTGCATGGAGTGAGTGAGCCGGCGCATTCGAGTGAAGTTTAGACATGATCTCGCACATTTCGGTAGGGAAGATATCGGTTCGCGAGGCAGCCCATTGTCCGAGCTTGATAAAGGCTGGGCCAGCCATTTCCATCTCGTTGACTAAGAAGCCATACCACCAGAGCGTACCTGATCGTTCGTTGTCTCTACTAGGTTGTCGTTTTCCAAAGTATATGGCAGGAATGGTGATTATCACCGGCACAAAAATCACAACAAGCTGGAGGAAACGGAAACCAGTGCATACGGGCTCGATGATCAAGAGGTCGATCAAGTACTTGATGCGCTCTCCGAGCCTCGAAAGGCCATGGGAATCGGCCGATACGCCCTTTTTCACCTCGGCCCGTGATACCTCGAGCATGCGCTTCTCGCCGGTCTCTTGATCATTGCCATTTTCTTGTTGCGACAGCTCAACAAAAGCAGCCGTTCCAAGTGCCGCAGCACCGCCGGAAGCACGCAGTGCTATTCTTTTCGGTGCGCCTTTGGGCCATTGTGTGAATCGAGGGCCGCGGGAGCTCTGAGACGCGAATCGACGACCAAGACTGGCAATGGTGAACCTGGCGTGGGCGTTGACGTTGGGGTATGTTCGGAAGCCCGGGTGGACGAAAAGCCGGCCTATGAAGGAGCCAGCTCTCATCTCGGAAGGGGGAAGGTCTTTCTAGAGAATTGTGTTGACGCGGACACTCTCATATTCGAGCAAAGCCTGGGGGCGATTGCATTCAGAGAGTGGTCAGGTCAGATTCGGAGGTTGATAAGTATAAAAAAGAGACGAGTCTGGCATGTGCAAGCGCGTTAATGATGCAAAGACTCGGATCGATTTACAAGGATGCCCGCCAATGGATCCCTAGGAACGAGCTAGATCAACAATTGGTGTCGGGTCGGTGACGTCGGGTTGATAACCAGAGTGACGTACAAAATTCGTATCCACTAAATCTTTTCTAACGGAAATAAATCGGAAAGGAATCATGAGGAATATTTCAGCCATGATGGCTCATCAATGCCTATTGAGCCTAAGGTAGCCAGAAGCTCAAATACTGAGAGGTATCATAGAAATTATGAATTCGACACTCATTTCTCCGTCTAATTGTCACAGTCATAATCACAATGCTCATGATCTTGCCAATAGACTCCCTATGATTCGCTCAGACGCTGTAAATAGTTCGCGATTTCCACTGTAACCCACCTGGTCTTGGTGCGGTTTCCCCCGGTCTTCCCGCTCTGGGCCTTAAACTTTTGATAGGCGCATTACTTTTTAGTAGAGGCAACTGGAGGAAATTCTTGCTTCTATCCATCCATCCATCCACTCTTTGTTCTTGTCATCATCACCAGACACAATCTTCGATTCTTTCAACGCTCAGGCCAACAACGCTGAGTTACTTCATCGAACGTTACAGTCCTAATATACAATCATTCACGATGGGTTGGTTTTGGGCAGACACGCCTGTTCCTGCGGTTCCTGTTGGACACCCAGCTACTACCGACAAGGCTCCTCCAGTATGATCGCAATCCCATATATCTTCACCATGTCGCTAACCCTTCCCAGCCTGGCTGCCCTATGCACCAAAAGTCTGCCGATGCCATGAACCCCGTGGCTAAGCCCAAGAAGCCCGTCGATCTTCCTTCCACCTCAGGATGTCCCGTTCCTCACGCCGCCCGAACCCAAGAGCAGCCCAAATCTTTAATCTCCCAGCTCAACCCTCTCAATTACATGTTCCCCGATCTATCGCAAAAGCCTGCTCCTAACCAATCATTTGCTCTCCCGACAACCCGAGATGAGTCTACCATCCCCAAGGGTACAGGAGATGGCAACTGGGAGTACCCGTCTCCTCAGCAGATGTACAACGCGCTACTGCGCAAGGGATATACCGATACCGATATCACCGCCGTCGAGGGCATGGTTTCGGTACACAACTTCTTAAATGAGGGCGCATGGCAGGAGATTCTTGGCTGGGAACAACGATTTGCGCGGGGACTATACAAAGGATGGCAGATCTGCAAGAGGGGCGAAGGCCACGTTCAGGAAGCGCTTGATCGCCAAAGGGACGGTGTTGACACCGAGCCTAGTCTCGTTCGCTTCCAGGGCCGGCCCAAGGAGTTGACTCCCAAGGCCACTATGATGCAGGTTCTGGGCTGGATTTACCCTTCAAAGTTTGGGTAGGTATTCATGATTCTAATGTGCAAACGATCTGCGGCTAACACACTGTAGTACCGAACCTCCCTTTGACCGACATGACTGGTACGTTGCGCGAGAGATCAACGGCCAAAGGAAGGAGATTCGATACATCATCGACTATTACTCTGGCGAGCCCGATGCCCACGGTGACCCTGTCTTCTTCCTCGATGTGCGTCCTGCCGCCACGCCCTTGGGTGCCGCCGAGCGTATCATTCGCTGGAGTACCGATACCTGGTGGAAGGCCATCGGCGGCGACAGGCATGAGCAGGATCCCCAGCCTTGGTTCCGTAGCACTTCTTAAAATGATTTCTTTGGCGCTTGGGTCATGATGGAAGCAGGTGTTTTCTGAAAAGGTTCTGGCGTGATGCATTCTCCTCTCTAATTGTTATGATTGGATGTATTTCTATAATGATAGCTGACTTGGAGTCACTTATTCGGGCTCGAAAACGGAGGCAATCGGAGCAATTATGTATTATATACCACTCATTAGAACTTAGTTCAAGTTCACAGCCAATTCGTTAACTTGGTCTAGAAGAGCCTGGTCTTCTCCAGCTGCATTCTTGAGCACCTTTTCCAGCTGGTGGTCAACGGTTTGGCCTGGGACGTCAGACACAGCACCCTGTGCCTGTTGAATACGAGCCATCTGGAACTGCAAGAAGAACTTGGGAACCTTGATCGCAAGATTTCCACCAGTTGATCTGATACCAGCCTCAGTTGCGAGGTAAACATTGAGCTCGTTCTGAAACGTATCGAGGTTGTTGTTGGCCAGGGGTGATGTGGTTGCAAACTTGTTGAGAGCGAAAGCCAGAGGACTTTGGCCTGATTCGGCAAAGTTGATGGAAGAAAAGGTCACACCGCCAGAGCTCACGTCTGGGACACCATCGATGGTTGTTTTCGAATTGTCGCAGGTGATGACCGAGGCCAGATTCGTGGCCTGTGTCGAAACTTCATCGGGGAGAGCTTCGGAGCCAGTCACAAAGCAAGGATTTTGTCTCTTGGGAAGATGAGGCGCTTATATATGTTAGCAGTTGTGTTCATCAAGGGCTGTGGGCAAGAAAAGGATACATACCTGCAAGGGCGCTTCCAGCCAGTGTGATGATGATGGGAAGAATAGGGAAGTGCATTTTGTACGAGTGAGCGAGTAAATGAGTGAATGACGAATCAATAGAAAGAGAGATAAAACAAGAGTATTATAAACAAAGATCCGCCAGGGATTTACGAACTGAAGAGAAACAAGTTGAGAAGTGATGAGTTTGTTTAGATACTGTAGATAGACAAATACCGAGGATCTACATGGCTTTTATACGCTGAGAGTATATGTGACCATCGTTAAGCATAAGCATAGAGTTGAATGGAGCATGACACCGAAACCTAGACCTGAGGATGCCTCCATGTCGAATATCGAGACTCAGTATAACCCCAAAAGACGAAGCTCGCTGTGACACTGTTCGTCCCATCAGCATAGGCCGAGGGTTTCAAGGATCCCTGGTCTGTCACAATAAGACCCGGGAACTATCGACCCCCAAGTCTAGAACTGCAACGATGATTTGTAGAGTTACATCAATTCAGATCTGATTTCCTATTTCAGACTGTCTCCGATAAATGTGCATCATCCAATCTGGCAGATGCTTCTTTGGGGTCAAATATCTGCGACAAAGGAGTTGAGATGTGAGCGGCAAGTGAGACGTCATTTAGTCAGCTTGTCTACCAAGTTTCAGGTTTGTCCTTGTGAGACGAGACTCTTCTTGGTTAAATCTCAAACCTGAACCGTTTTTCTTTACCAATTTCCAAGAATTGTTTCTCGAGTCCCGTGCTTGTTCGTTTGTTTTATCTTGTTGATTCTCTGAGCAATACATACTGCACTCACTTAAGGGTTCCCGGATCAAAGTCGCTCCATTCGACCAATCAAAAGTCGCGAATCTTCCTTCAAGGGTCCTTGGAACTTTTTTCCCCCAAATTGGTATCGCAAAAGCAAAAGCTCGTCCCTTTTCATTGAGAGCGACATACTCATTTTAACGACGCTTTTGACGTCGCACAAACTCCTCACGAAAGCGCCATTCGCTTCGAAATGTCTGCTGAGGCCACGTCTGCTTCTAGCGACTACATAAGGCTTCACATAAGCCCTCTCGATCCCGAGCTTCTCAAGATCGTTATTCCAGCTTCTGCAGCCCCCAAGGCGCGCAACATTTCATACCACACGCTCGAGACGTTTCCCGAACGACGCTACGGCTTTGTCGAACTCCCAACAATGGAGGCTGACAAGATAAAAAAGAAGCTCAATGGCGCTGTGTTGAAGGGCAACAAAATACGGATCGAAAAGGCCAGACCAGAACAGAGAGCTGAACCTACTGGTGAAGTTGATCAGGAGGAAGAGGAGAAGTCCACGAAGAAAAAGAAGAAGTCAAAGGAATCCAAGGAGGAATCGAGAAAACGAAAGCGTGATCACGAGGTCGTCGAGGGCGTCGCTCTGACAGACCGCAAAGTCAAGAGAGGATGGACAGAACCCGCGGATCAGAGAAGAAAGAAGAGCAAGCAGGACAAAAAAAAGGAAAATGATGGCAAACACACTGAGAAGAAAAAGCGCCTAAAATCAAAGTATACAGACGGAGATGAGTGTCTGCTCAAGACCAAGGTTCCCCCTAATCTCACCTCCACTCTCCCTGAGGACGATCAACCCCGAAAGCGCAAGAAGAAGGGCAAGTCGCGCGAAGTTATTGTTCATGAATTCGAGAAGACCACGAAATTCCCGAGCTTCTTGAAGACCTTGGCCGATGGGGAACAAGCCAACACAGCCACCGAATTTATTGAGGGTAAAGGCTGGGTCGATGAGAATGGCAATGTAGTCGAGACGGTCAAGGAGAAGAAGATTCCCGAACCTGTACCCAAGAAGAAGAAAGTCAAGAAGGCGACACCTCCTCCTGTCGAGGAGTCAGATGATGATACCAGTAGCAGTGGTACCAGTAGCAGTGGTACCAGTAGCAGCGGCTCCTCTGATGAGGATAGTGAGGATGAGATGGAAGTTGATGCTCAAGTCGAAGAGAAGAAAGAACAGACAGACACAACCAAGGAAGCTCTTCAGCCAGACGATGAGTCCTCCGAGCCTGAAGCCGACTCTCCCGAACCACCCCAACAAGCCACACCCCTCTCAGCCATCAAAGCCGACGAAACAAGACCCATGTCCTCAAGTTCTTCCCGCAGTCTCACCATCAAGATACCCCCTCCTGGAACACCCTCTACCAAAGTCCACCCCCTTGAGGCCCTTTATAAGCGTAGCAAACCCGACGAGGTCGCCACAGAGACTCTCGCCAAACAGGAAGCTGAGCCCTTCAGCTTCTTTGGAGGTGTTGACAACGACGATATCGAGGACGAGGAGGACCAGGACCCCGCAAACCTGACCATCGCAACCCCCGCGCCCATGACGCCCTTCTCTCGCCAGGATTTCGAATGGCGCAACGTTAGAAGTGCTGCGCCTACGCCCGACACCGCGCATCCCTCACGAATGCGCAACTTCTGGCCTGAGGATGACGAAGACGGCGACGAAGACCTCGACATGGCAGAGCATGGCTTCGACGAGGATGGAGACGAGAAAGATGCTTCCGCTCCACAAAGCTCAAGCGACTTTCAGGCTTGGTTCTGGGATAACAGACGCGATCTCAACAGATCATGGATGAAGCGTCGCAAGACTGCGGCCAAGGAGAAGCGACACAGAGAGAACAAAGCCAGGGCTAGCAAGGCGGCATAGACTCATAGTATACGGATAATAGACATTAATTGCATGTGATGTGACACACTTATCGGTCTCTCATGGTGTACTCAAGCATACTACCTCAACGTCCTTGCACCAAACAAGGTTTGAAGGCCTTTTCAGAGTATCATTAGGTTCGATTCTTCCTATGAAATGATCTATCTAGGTACGTATGTCTTGTCGTCCCCCTTGACTTCTCAATAGTTGCCACTTATTTGGGTGAAATGTCGCGAGACGACAAATCATTCACACATTCGTGAGGTTGATGGTCTTCGGAGCATGCCCCCTCTCTGGCATGTGGAACTTTGAGCTTGCTGCCCTCCATGGCCTCGTATATCTCTTCATCATCAGCCTTTGGCGGTTCAGGGGTGGGTTCCCTGGCAATGCTGTCCCTGGAGCGCAAGAAGCCGCCCGGCGATACATCATTCTCGGCTATTCTGATCGGAGCTCCTCCAGTCGGCTTTCGAAAGTGATTCTTGTGGAAAAGCTTGTGGCCTCCTAGTTTGATTTTGTCCATCAGGCTTTGCCGTGAACCATTTTGGGAATCGATCATCTCCTCCTCCTCAATGCCGGCAACCTGGGCACTCAGGCGTCGTCGCGTATCTGCGTCGAGTGAGGCACTTAGCTTTCTTTCCGCCGCCAGAGGAGTTGGTAGACGTCTACCCGCCGCCGTCAGTTTGGTTGGAAGCGCTCTGAATGGGTTGGCAGCGAACAAAGGGTTGTTGTGTGAGTATATATTTGAGGGCTCTGCAGAGGAACTCGATGCAGCTAACTCCTCGACACCGCAGTGGGCATCGACACCATCTTGGTATAGTGTGGACGGAGTATGCTTTTTCGGCTGGTCACTTTCAGTTTGCAAGGTGAGGTCAGTGGTGCAGTCACGGGAAAAGAGTCTGGGGAAGGACGTGATGACGGTCCCGTCGCTGACTCTCAGCTGTTGCTCGAAACTTTTATTGCACATAATATCGGCCAGTATCTCAGCTGTGCTTTTTGGGGTGGCATAGTGTCGTAGGACAGACTCGTCTTTCGTCAGCCTCTGGTAGCTCTGTCGACGGTCATCTGGGCACGAACGCGAGCCCCCATGTGTGGGTGAGCAACAGTCCGAAACGGTTCGATAATGTGTTCGTGTACTCGAATCATAATTTGCTGGATATGCCCGAGACCACGTAATTTCAGCAACACTTCGGCGTGTCACAACAGTTGTCGTTGCTTCCGAAGCCCCGCCACGCGTTTTGGTATGGACTTGCATGTCAGTTGCGTTGATGTTTGTGTAAGATGTGCTGGGTAGATTAATGGTAGTCGCAGGATCGATCGCCATCGGGGAGGGGACCAGGATAGCATTCAAGTTCTCATCGAGTCGCGGTAACGGTCGACTGTCAGATGACCCTGTGGTCGTAGGTGTTCTCTTGGGAAATTCAATGTGGCCATTCTTCAGTGTTTCGTCCAACACGATACCGACGACATCTCGTATGTCCTTGTCGCCAATGAGGTAAAGCCCCTTGGCCTCCGGGATTTGCTGGCCCTTTCCGTTTATGACATGCAGATGTTCTCTCAAGTGCCTGATCTTTTGAAGGCGATCACTCACTTTTCTAGCGATGCTCTGGGTAGCTTCTTCGCCGGCATACAATGGATCACCGACTTCTACATCTGCTTCAAGGGAAGCTGAACTCTCGGTATCAATAATCACTGCGGGGACTTGGGATGGATCTAGCCTCCAGAGCGTTTCGTGGCTTCCATGCCTCAGTACGCCCTGGTCCTTGTCTGAAGCTTCGAGGTAGTAGGCGCGCACCCCTGGCTCTTGTGCCGTGGATTTGAAAGATACCCTCTCAATTTTGAAACCATCATTTTCCTCAGTATCTTCATACATGAAGTATGCTGAGCCATTTGAACGTGGATCGAAGATGTAATAAGCCTGGTATTTATCTTCAGAAGCTGCTTCGTGAGCATTGGTGTTGATGGAGCTAGTATCTAAGCCAGCTGGTCGTGATGTATCACTGCCATGTGTAGCAGCCTGAGATCCTTCATTGGTGTTTTTCAGCCGATCATAGACCGCTCCAAGGTTGTTGGGTCTTGCATCAGGTATAGATCGTAGGCGGCTTCGGGTCAGGGGTTGTGGTGCTTGGTCTGGGGTTGACGACTTGAACGAATCCACCTCCAAGGAGCGCCCAGTGGGCTTGGTCTCTCCTGAGCTGCTGAGTTGGTCCGCATCCGGGTCTCTGTTCAGTGCGTGGACCCTGTTGGCGATATCCTTGAGTCTTTGAATGGTCTCGTCTGGAACATCGTTATCCGCGGAAACAAAATCGGTGGAGGGTTGAAATGATTGTGATGATGGTATATCCTTGATGGTGAACACTTTCGAGGGGTTCAGATAGCGTTCGGCGTCGTCATCTTTCTAAAACACCGCTTTTCCGCCACCAGAGCTCATAAAGGTCGAGTGAGGTGCATTACTTGGGCCTGCTTCTGCTTCTTCTTCCTTGTCGTGACAAGGTGTGTCATCGGTCTCGGTGTCACAGGTTGCGAGCTCATGAAGAACCTTGCTTTTGGTGGAACTTTCATCGTCAGCGGCTGCAGAGAAAAGAACGACTTCAGGTTGAGTGTCAGGGGAAGTGAAGATTCTTGGCATTCGAGGGAGGCATCGAGAGTCGTTGTCATCATATCCCTCCATTTTGCTGTACGATTGCCGTTTAGAATATTTCAGACAAATCATGTGGAGAGTTAGTATACATGTAGGTGATGGAATAAGTTGAAGCTGCTAAGTTAGAGCATGAGATAGGGCGGTTGAAGAAGAATCATCCGGATGATGACTTGGAGGTGATTGTAGAGGCTGAGAGTGAAAGAAGGGAGTTCGACCATCTAAGATTCCTTATGAGAAGAAGATACGAAGTGGGGAACACTCTTTCCCTTTCCTGTTGGTCTCTGTCGTAGAATTACCTCTAGGTAAGGTAGGTAGGTAGCATAAAGGAAGTTGATTGCCTTGAACATCTGATGCTACCTTACCTGAGCTACCAAGAGTGCCGGAATTAGCTGCTCCTATTACTTTACCTTACCTATTAAATTATACTAACTACCTTAAGTATTTCCGTCGCTCAAGGTAGTACCCAGGTAGGATATAGATCCCAATCTTACCTGTCTGACCCCATCGCCTGGGTACTTAGTTATCTTGGGAAAGAAGCAAGGGCTCGGCGTATGAAGATTTAGGTCTTTCTGATGCCAGTGTCGATTACCTCTTAACCAAGAACACAGCCAGATTCACCAATGCTAGTAGTTTTTTTCTAAGTAGGTACGCTACTTACTTAGGTAGTTTCTAAGCTTCTAAGAGCCAGTATATGCTTAATGCCAACTCTCCCACATCAAATTTAGCCTCGCTCGAACGCTGATCAAATCTTCATCTCATCAATAGTGAGTGGCTTTGCTGCTGCCTTTCCCTCCAATGCTCATCCACCTCTTCGCTCTCACAAAAGTTTATCAGTAGCTCTTCTTCCTCTTCTGGACCCTGCTGATGGGAATTTCCACCTTCCGATTCCTATGGTAATGGTGATCCCTTTCCTGGTGTCCAGCTAGAGCCACCTCCAAATGCAGATCCAGGTGTCTGTGCCAGAATGTTGTGGCTTCTGACAGGTGTTACCGGCCCTGTTGAGCCATCGACTGGCAAAGGTGGAGGTGTGTCCGTCCTTGGGATATGCTGGCCATCCTTGCGAGGCGGCTTGAAGTTAACCTCTCGGCCAGCTCGGTAAATATCTTGCAACATGGTCTCCAAGATTCCGGCATCCTGGAACTCGAGATACTTCTTATACAACTTGAGTGCTGTCCGTGAATCTTCGATCGAATCGTGGGTCTCCATTTGGATATCTTCCTTCAAGAGATACCACGCCAGAAAAGCCAGCGATAGCCTCCTTAACCGAGTTTGGAGGAAGAACAGGTCAATCGTGTCGATGACCTGCGACTTAGGAATGTGTATGTTGATAACTCGGAAGTCTTGTTTTAGTCCGTGGCCAAGGAACTTGCATCCGAGGTTAAGAAGAATCCACATCTTCTTGTATGCCATCTTCAACGACAGGAGACTATGTTTCGAAACTCTAGGATCCAAGTCTTGTTCAGTGATTCCAGAATACGATGTCAAATAGTCGACAATCGGTTCCTTTATGTTAATATAATCATCGATGAAGGGCGTCCCTTCGTTTTCCCCCTGACCGCGGACAACTGACGCACGAGCAAGTGCGTACACTATCGGCCGTATGGTTTCCCGCTCACCATCAGAATTCATTTCAATTTCAGGTTGTCGCACAGCAACAAACTCAGTGTCCAGTGCAATAATGGTATTGGGGCCAGGCGCCTCAGTCTCAGGGTTGAGCACTTGATAGGTCTTTGTTGATGGATCGGCGTTTGCACTGAAAAACGTCAGCAACATCAGGTTTATAGCGGGTTGGGGCATACTTGAAGTCTTGGTAAAGTATGGAGGTGTCGATGTTGCTCCTCCATTCAGTATCGATCTTGTTGTTCTCATCTTTTATCTGGTATGCAATTACAGAAGGGACCTTCCAAGATGTGTTGAAAGCGAGTGCCTCTTCCGTGCTGACCGACCTCACCAAGAAGTCGTTGAAAAGATGCCATCGACTCTCTCCAGGCGCCTCTGGTTCTGCATGTGCCACTATCCTTTTGTTTCAGCGGTTGAGGGGTAATGAGGCGCAAGAGACTTACCATTGACCATCGAGACAAGGTGTGACTTTTGCGATTGTCCACTCTCAATATTAATGGCCATGCCTGTCAGCGAATACACTGCGATGTTGTGAATGCCCCTCTGGAGGTGAAGTTTCAGGTCTTCGCCTTCGTAACAGAAAAACTGCCCTTGCTCTACGATGATTCCAATCTCCTCGGGAAGCCAGCCTGGTGTTGACCAAAGCATTCGTTGATCTTGGTTTGTGATGGCGGTGTTTAGCATGAGTACAGCCGGTATACTGTGAATGCTTTTTCTCGTCGCTATAGTCTGGTACCGCTGA